TGACTATGTGTGACATCAATTACGCATCATGTTATCATCATCATCATCAAGTACATCAATTACATAGATGTCATGTAATCATCATCAAGAACAAGTATATATGGATTATATGAGTATCATGTAATCATCCTCACAAGCAAATTGATTTATTGTGCCATCATGTAATTATCATTAAATATTTATCATCATGATTCATCAAGTTGTCCATATGATATAATGTGCCATATTATGAATATTATTATTATACTTTTTGTGGACATATATATGTAAATGTATATGTCTATGAATTATTCTACAATTCTAGCGTGGTACCACTCAGCGGTTTCGCTGAGCGTGTGGTTTGTATTTTTTCGTTGACTACACGTAGGTAACAAGAAGACAATGATGGAACCTTTCCCGGAGGGCATTGAGTCAGAGGAGATACAAGGATGGCAGGCAATGTTTGGTCAATAGATTTTAAAATGTGTCATGATTTGATTATTATTGTACTTCCGCATTACTCTGAAAATATTTTTAAAAGGGTCGCGATCCAGAGTCTGTAAATTTAATATTTATAAGTAATTGTCATTTTCAAATGTCAAGCGAAATTTTTATTTAACTCTTGTTTCACCTTAATTTGTGTAATTCCGGGTTATACAGATTGGGGTGTTACATTTTGGTATCAGAGCAAAACGATTTTCGGATCATTGAGTCAGTATTTTCAAAGTCCTGCATCCGCATCCTCCTCGACATCTCTGCCCCGGGAAGGTAATCAACAAGTAAGTTAATATGAAATAACACACGTACTTAACTCATTGAAAACTTGCTTCCTTTGAGTTGCTAGTGTCCTCATAGACTCGATTACAATAATGTTTAGATTGCCTCGAAATTTTCTTCGAGGATCACAGTCGACATCAGAAGATCAAGAAGAGGGACTGTAAACCCGATAAGCGCGACATATACGTATGTCATAGTACGCAAATGGCTAAGTGAACGATGTGAATCAACTTCTGTCAAGCCGAAGAATACGTTGAAGAAAGAATTTTCTCCGATAGAAAGTGAACAAATTCCCCAAAAGTGAATCTGTCGTTTTTAAGAACACGAACAGAGTCTCCAAAACCAGATCGAATACGATATATGTATCGAATCTGAAACACATTAGAGTGAATCTGCATAGAAACATTAAGATAATTGACTCGTTCGTATACCCTATTGACGTGAAAAGTCGCAACAAGATGACAGTACAAAACAAGTTGTGAAATAGTTAATAGTGAGAGACTGGAACATAAAGAAGAGGATTAATATTTACATGGTACATATTGATGTTGGAAATAAATACTCTTCTGAAATGTACTGGTCATGCAGCTTAGAACGAGATTTGTGACTAGGCATAATGTACATGGACAATATTATTTCAACTTGGAAATGTTACAGATGCAACTCTAAGTCTAACCTTCCAGGATTTGCAAACTCTTCAGAACTAGCACCAGGACCTGGGAAAGCCTTAGCAAACTCTAGCTTGTCCAAAAGCTCATCAACAAAGAAAGAAGAAATGAACAGTTTCCTCTGATTCAAAGCCATGAAGTTCTGCCTCACCGCATCATCTAGAAACTTGATTAGGTTATTGAAATAACCGTCAATGTTTAAGAGACCAATAGGTCTGCTGTGCAACCCTTC